GGCGCAAGGTAATGACAAAAAATGTCCACTGGTGTCTCGTCGTGTCGCGTTGTCATCACCATTGCCAAAGACAAATTTGCTGCCATCTCCCTTCCTGCCTGTCTGCCTGTCTGTCTGCCTGTCTGCCAGTCTGTGTCCGTATCCGTGTCCGCGGAATTTCATCAAAAGTTGCAGCTCCAGCTTTGCAGCTAACAAAACTTATATTTGTGTGCGCCATTTATGCTGCTTCTATCAAATTTGTCCGCAACTCGTAAAACGCCTAAATGCCATAAACAACGTGAGCCAAATTGTGCGCTGCGCCTGCACAAATGCGAAATGAAATATTAAATATGAAAATGTGGGGTGGGGTGGGTTGGGGCGAACCGGGCGCACTGGTGAGGAACTTTTATGATGGCGTTATGCAAGTTTTGTCTAATTTGTCGTCGCGTAAATATTATTTATGATTTCTGTTGCACTCGTGGCGGCTCCTGCGGCTCAATTATGGCTTAGGCAGCACGGATACGGACAGCACGTTGATTTTTATGACTTCAAGCTTTATTGTGAAATGAGTTATGAATATTATAATTTAATGCGCCCACATACATGCATACATGTACATGCCGGTGCCCATGTCTTTGCCTACGGCTAGACCCATACCCGAGTCAATATTTCATGACCATTGTGTACCCATTGGTCATTTCTATGAGTCATTGTTTGCTTTAGGAATGCTTCTAGTTCTATAAGCTAGACCAACCGTATTCTTTGCGTTAATAAAATGTACTAGTTTCTCGTCCTTACACGAGTACGACGGCCATACTCTAAGTTCCTATGAGCAAGAAAGGTATTATTCGAGTATGGCTTAAAAAAAATGCAATTATGATAGTAAAATGTGGCTAAGGTATAAATTGAATCAGCTCTTCAGCAGAGAATTACCTTTAAATCCATATTATTGGTCACTGGTCTAGAATTAAGAAGCGATTTGGTTTTATCTCCCCAACCAACACCAAATAAAGAAGAATCTAGAGAAATCTTCTTAAGCTTGCATTTTGTTCGGTAAAGTATATAAATATATATTCTTAATCAGCATGAGGAAAGAAATCAATTTAGACATATTCATCTTTGTGAAAAGTTTCGAAGCTAGCTTTCGAAATGGGGATTGTATTGTCGAACGCGCTGCCCCCCGTTTTCAGCTGTGGCAAATCAAAACAAAAAAACAAATTCGTGTTGCCTAATTATCACGAGAGTCTACATACCAATTTTGGTCAAGGTGGGTACAGCCGTCTTCGAAATCCAGGCGTTCATCCAGACAGACAGTTAGACGGACGTGGTTATATATTCGTCTCGTCATGCTGATTAAGAATATATATCTTATAAGGTCGTAGATTAGCTTTTTATCCTACGAGTACAGGGTGTAAAAATATATGGAAATGTGATTTAAAATTAAGTTCATTAAATAAATTCAAAATATGTTACTATAGGTAGGCGCATTATATATCATTCATTTATATCGGGATTATGTCTATGGATGTCTGTGTCCGTGCGTGTATATACAAAGTTGGGCCAAAGTAGCAACAACAACAACAGCTGCAGGAAGAGCTTGGGCAGATTTTACATTTTTGGGGTTCCTGTAATTAAAGCCGGCATATTTAACAAATATTGCATACTGGAAAAGGCGTCGCTAATGCTGGCCATAGATAGCTAATTGCTCCTTTAGTAAAAAGAAAACTTTTTAATGTAAATGAAATACTTCGGAACTAGTAAGGTATAAGGCCCCATAACCACAAAGGAATAATATTTTTGTTGTCAGCTACATTTAAGGGGTTAATAGCTTTGAAGCTAAAGCAGACAGTTTCTTATCTAATGCGTACATTCTACATATATTTCACTTCATCAAATACTACAAAGGAAACATTTAATAACATATAAATTATAGAACAAAAATAAAATTATTTATCATTTAATTGGTGTTGCTTAAAGTCTTGGTATTTATTTAATTGAGGACAGAGTCTCGTTCATTTCGTCAATTGCCAATTGAACAACTTGTTGGTGGGTGTTTGAGAAGAATTTTATGTAAACATTTTAATGGGGTTCATGGAGAACACAATGCAGTATTCATCAGCATTTGAAGAAAACTTTTTCAGTTTCGAATTTCAAAGCACAGTTTTGCCATTCAAAATCAATTAAAAACAGGACCAAAGCCGCTTGACATGCTGCACATTAGGCAGCGACAGTTTTGTTGCATATGCGTCCCTCGTCCCTCGTCCCGCACCCCGCCTCACGAACTTTGTGCATACCAAGTGGCGACAAGGAATTAAAAAGTATTTGTGCTCCTTGATGCAGACACACACACACACACACACACACACACTCACAAACTACATCTACAGAGGTATGGGCGTACAAAAACTTGTGCAAGGACCGCAGGCGAAATTATTAAAATTTTAATTACGTAACTCTGTGGGACTTGTCGTCGTCGTCGTTGTCGCCGTTGTCGTCATCGCCATCGCCATCATCAGCGTCGGTCGTAACGTTACAGAAACCGCAAAGGTAAAGAAAAACGTGAAAGTGAATGAGTGACTGCATGACGAAGTGAGTGAGTGAGTGAGTGAGTGACGGACTAGCTCACTGACTAAATGACTGCCTCGCTACCTGACTGCCTGTATGTCTCCATTGTGCGCTAGTAACGTCTTTGGCCCTTTGCAAGTTTCTACTGTAACTTGTGCTCGTACTTTCGTGGGTGGCTGTTGCAACAACGCGTTGACATGCTTAAATATCAAAGTAGCTTTTGCTATTCATCATGCAGCCAGCCGCAGGCAGGCGCCTGCCAACAACATCGGCAGCATCGTTGCGGACGTCCTTATTGTACTTTTCAGGTGTATACAAGGCCCTGACGCTCCATACCCCTTTACCATACCAGCAATTATTCACAGGCCCACCTTGACCAATGAATGGGAAATGGTCACTCAGCAGCATATCTGCAAGTCTGGGGCATTTGCCTATTCTATATTTCAAATGCTTTCAAGTCTGATGAGCCATAATCAGGACACAAGTAGTTACAGTACTGCATATGATATGTGTAGATTGAATCTCACATGTTGCATAACTCTCGAAAATTGTGCTTTCGACCGATAAGTATTGTTTCGCAGATGCTTTCCATTTAACGGTGCGTGATAATTCGATGAAACTTCAAAATAAACACAAAATTAGACAATCAAAAATTACTAAACCAACAACTGGTCGACACAACGAGTAAAAAAATAAACGTAAAAAACATCTAAACTAAATTTATAAAAAACCTTCAACATAATTGCAATAAAAAATAATTTGAAAAGCTAATACTCTGTAACTTTATTTGCATAATTGAATAAGCCTTTATTTAATTTTACGTTGTTTATTTAAATACAAAATATCACAACTATGATATTTATTATTATTATTTTTAAACTACTCTATTTCAAATCAGTCCCTAAGGGGAAAATCATTATATTTTATAGTCACGCCTGGACAGTTTCAATGTTTGTTTTAAAATTGCACTTAGGATATGGAAATTATTGTGAAATATGTTATTTTTGTAATGCAGTGGATACCTAGTTAAATGTTCTGAAGGGCATGTCTAATGGGTGGAGCCTCTTTAGTCTTCTGTTGGTGGTCAAGTAGATTTATTTTATGAATTTTGTATGGAACTGCAAGTTCCAGGTAAATGCCTTTACAACTATTAGTGATGAACGGATGAGCTTTGGAGATTGTCCTTAGCACTTTGCTGTGGAATCCTTTGCATTATATATATATTCTTATATATATATTCTGTCTTGGCTTGATGTCATATGTCCAGACTGGCTTGAGTGTACACTCTGACAAAAATAAACATCTCCAAGGAATTTTAATCAATGCATTGTTGTTTTAAAAATGTATGACTGTATACTTTATTATATTTTGTTGCCGGTATTTCTATTATAGCTGTTGCCAGCTTTGATTTATTTGCAATGCCAGAATCTGGTGGTGGTGTGTTGTCACTCATTGTCAGGCAGGCCTCTATCGAAACGCTTATCTTTATTTTCTTGCCACTTGTTATTTCAGATCGTAACAAACGAAATCAGGATAAGTCACGTGCTGCCAATTACCTGTTTGCGTGCTAAGTTTAGCACGAATTCCATCGCCCAGTACCAGGCCCAGACCCAGGCGATACGTGCCTTAGTCGTGCCACGCAGACAACACCCAGTAGAAAACACAAAATGGCTAAATAAATATACGAGTGTATGTATTCGAGTATACTCGTAAGTGTAGACACTCGGACAGCGCTTGCACTCAGCTAGTTGGCTCGGTTTCGAAATACGAAATTGTCAACATGCCTGGCACACTGGGTCGGTACTGTGTGGTTTTAGCGTTGAAATATCGCAATGCCTTTTTTATACCCTTTACCCGTAGGGTAAAAAGGGTACATTACGTTTGTGCAATGTATGCAAGAGGCAGAAGGAAGCACCTCCGACCCCATAAAGTATATATATTCTGAAATCGATCTAGACATGTCCGTCCGTCTGTCCGTCCATTCGCTTGGATGAACGCCTGGATTTAGGGAACGGTTGAGCGCACATTAACCAAACTTGGCATATAGATGCTCCTAGTCCCTAAGCTACACGAGTTTATTTTACTTTTTTGAATTCCCCCCACCCCCCCCCCCCCCCCCTTGTCCTTAGCACTTTGCTGTGGAATCCTTTGCATTATATATATATTCTTATATATATATTCTGTCTTGGCTTGATGTCATATGTCCAGACTGGCTTGAGTGTACACTCTGACAAAAATAAACATCTCCAAGGAATTTTAATCAATGCATTGTTGTTTTAAAAATGTATGACTGTATACTTTATTATATTTTGTTGCCGGTATTTCTATTATAGCTGTTGCCAGCTTTGATTTATTTGCAATGCCAGAATCTGGTGGTGGTGTGTTGTCACTCATTGTCAGGCAGGCCTCTATCGAAACGCTTATCTTTATTTTCTTGCCACTTGTTATTTCAGATCGTAACAAACGAAATCAGGATAAGTCACGTGCTGCCAATTACCTGTTTGCGTGCTAAGTTTAGCACGAATTCCATCGCCCAGTACCAGGCCCAGACCCAGACCCAGCCGCAGCCCCAAAGAGTGTGAGGAGGACGTTCTGCTCTAAGTGCGTGGCACACGCGCCAAAGCCAAATTAGAGAAAGTAACAAGCAAAAAGGCGCAATACTCGCACACACGCAAACAGCAGCACACACTTAGCGCATCACAATGGGCAAGAAGAACTCCAAATTGAAGCAGGATACCATCGATCGCCTGACAACAGCCACATACTGTGAGTACAAACAACAACTACGCATAGAATACAGCGTTAAGCATATAGGAATCAAAGCAGCATGAAATTAGTGAGCCTTGAACTTAGCATGACTTATTGGGAGGGCATTTAAACACATAAAAGCACTTTTGGCAGGCGATACGTGCCTTAGTCGTGCCACGCAGACAACACCCAGTAGAAAACACAAAATGGCTAAATAAATATACGAGTGTATGTATTCGAGTATACTCGTAAGTGTAGACACTCGGACAGCGCTTGCACTCAGCTAGTTGGCTCGGTTTCGAAATACGAAATTGTCAACATGCCTGGCACACTGGGTCGGTACTGTGTGGTTTTAGCGTTGAAATATCGCAATGCCTTTTTTATACCCTTTACCCGTAGGGTAAAAAGGGTACATTACGTTTGTGCAATGTATGCAAGAGGCAGAAGGAAGCACCTCCGACCCCATAAAGTATATATATTCTGAAATCGATCTAGACATGTCCGTCCGTCTGTCCGTCCATTCGCTTGGATGAACGCCTGGATTTAGGGAACGGTTGAGCGCACATTAACCAAACTTGGCATATAGATGCTCCTAGTCCCTAAGCTACACGAGTTTATTTTACTTTTTTGAATTCCCCCCCCCCCCCCCCCCTCCTACCCCCGCTACAGAATTTCCTCCATGCCGTCCACATTTCAAACTTTGCACACGTAATAACTTAACTCATACGTAATAACTTACTTTTGTTTCAAATTGGTTAATTCTAAGAAAATGTATTAGAGAAGCAATTTCACTCCGGTACTACGCCCCCAAACTGCAGCATCAAGTTCGCCCTTCTTCTTCCTTTTGCTTCAGCTAGAGGCGCATATACCTCAGTGTAGGAAGGGTATTTCACTGTCGGGCTTGCTCGACTGTAGCATTCTCACTTGTTTACCGTTGCTGTACTTAGTCTGTAATACATTATCTCAATAGATAGTAGTCCATCTTGCGGCAAAGACACCAGCACATGGTTTAAGCACCTCTTAATTTGAGCTTTATATTGAAAATTTGATATGCAGAATACACAGATTGTTTGTGAGCAGCGAAAACTAGATTCCTATCAAATGTTTTCAAACTAGTGAAGACTTAATTCGTTCGATAGGAAATGTAAATAAAGCTGTTGTTATTTACTTTTGTATATTTCAAAGCTCCATCGCTTTTGTCTGATTAATTCTTTTATATAAGCGGCATGTATGGTAGACAAATGAAAAAATAATTTAATATAAAATTAAAACAAAATAAATGATATCCGAATGGGTTTTACTGATTTAATGAAAACTTGGAAAAGCTGATAAATTAATGGAATTATTTTAAAAATTAAATGATATTTGAAAGTAATCCCTAAGCCCACACTGAGTTTTGCTTTTCTGAGAGTAACACAGATTTTATTTTCTAATGCTGGCAAATCATATCAGTTGCATCTTTTTGTGTCTTTTTTTCTTATAGCTTATGTTATATTGATATTATATGCTGCAATACAATATTATTAGCCCAGCCAGTGGATTTATTTTACAACTAAAAATATAAATTGATAATATAAAACAGTATAGTAATAGTTGGTTATATGAGTAGTGCCTAAATATTAAATCTTATGTATGGAGCAATTATAGAATAATCATTTTAAATGTATAGCTAAGAAAACTGTCGCAAATATAAATCTGGCGAAACACCAAAAATGTTGTTGCCATAACTTTAATTTGGATTCAATTCCAATCTACGGACAACCGACAACAGTCTTGCACACATTTAAGGCTCAGTGTCCACGAAGCAGACAAAAATCCCAATTGGCATACGAGTATGCTGCCTGGTTGCCCCTTGTGGCATGTGGCGGCAATAAGCCCATTTCGTGTTATTTGTTAGCCGCTTAGAGGCATTTGGCGGCATTTCGTGCTGCGACGCAAAAATTCATTCATGTATGCACATTTGTATGTACATATGCACATTGGTAAATATGTATTTGGAAGCATTTCTTTTATTCTACCGACATATTTCTAATATGTAGTTACACTGCACTACAGACTCGATAGGCCAAAGTTCGAATGAAGCTTAAGGCTGTGCATACTGGAAGTGCTGGGCGAATAGTTGGTTGGCCAGCCCATCCCAGCCATACACGCACTCTGTCAGCAGTGGGGAGAAGGAGGGGGCAAGAAACCAATGCATTGCTCGGCGTGGCTTTCGAAGTGAAAAAGCTGGAGACTTTTTGTCGCACTATGACGGCGAGGCACGGTATTTTTGAAATATGGCAGTTTGGCTCGACCCAGTGGGCCTAAGCGAGTTTTATTTTATATTGCTAGCTATATAAGCAACAATAACAATGCCCCTTACAGTGACTCAGTTCTGCGACACTTTGAGTGTGCGCTCCAAAGTAGGCAATGGTTTTTTATGTTTATTTTTCATTTTACTGGATTTGTTGCATTTAAGTTAGGGCTCTGGAATGTGTTGCAACTCAATAAGCAGGAATTAGAGTGCAAAGTGCAAACAGCACACGACCTTGTTATTATTACTATCTGCCGCTAAACCTTTGCGTACAAACGTGTGCGTGTGTATTTTTTATTGCACTTGCAGCTGTATCTGTAGATGCACACGTATCTGTCTGTGTCTATGTCTGCGCACTTCTTCTTTCAGTCCCATATGCCAACTACTGTTTGCCGTACGCTTCGACAAACAGTCACAGCAAATCGCTTATAAAACTAAAATTCAGACGGTGGCCACAGATGAGCGAGCAGCTACAAACACGACTACTGCATGCTTCCCATTCAGCAGAGTCAATCGTTTCTGGCATACATATACAAGTATATACATATAGCGTCATATTGCAATATCATTTGTGTGCTACAAATACAGATACAAACTTACCAATACTTGTATATAAATATACACGCATACGTGAATATTCGTCGTTCTATGCAAATAAAGAGCGAAGAACAATTGGCAGACGTGCCCGCACCAGGGGGCGTCGACTAGGAGAAAAGCGAGTGGAGAATACAATTTATTAATTTTAGCCAGAGAATCATGGAGACAAAGAACCCATTCAAGCATATTAAGACCTGATACATAATAATGCATGGCTTTGCTTGAAATGGGAGCATTAAACTGTAAACAATAGGTTCATTATACTATGTACCGGGAGGGTAAAAGGGGCAAAAAACACAAACTTGTCCTTTCCCCGACTTAGGAGAGCATGGATGCCAAGTTTGGTTACTCACCTCACAAGATGGCCATATACGTCTTGCTATGCCTATCAAGAATATATATAAAGTACATATATATGCGAGATCTGACACTACGCTTTGTTAGTAATGCATACAAACATAAGTAGAAAAAAGCCTTAAAATGGATGCAGATTATGCATCCTAGAAAATATTTTTCAGCGTAAGTGCGTTTATTTAAATTTGGAAGCTTTTAAAATGACTTAAGTATTTCTTTCTAAGTTTTACCTAAAAACAGTGAAGCAATTTAAAATACAACCATAGGCAAAACATTCAATTCATTTCTCAATCAAGTCGTTTTGAAACTTTCAGCCTGCCATCAAAGGATATTGCATTTTTCGCTGAATGCATATAGCAGGTTGGACTGCAATTGAAACGAATGTCATAGTTGCCATGGTCCCCACTGTGGCCCGGTCTAGTTCATTTCGAACGCATTGAAATGTCAGTTGAGTGTGTACCGGGCAAGAATGGGTGTCTATGTGTGGGTGTGTGTGTGTGGGTGTGCGTGTGTGTGGGTGTGTGTGTGTGTGTGTGTGCTATTTGTGGATGGCACTCAAAATTCAATTCAATGTTGAAATTATTATTGCTCTTGTTGTATGCTGCTTCATTGTCACGTTGTATTACTCCCCGACTGCCTGTCTGTCTGTCCGTCTGTCTGTCTGTGTGTGCATATATGTATGTATATGTGGATGTGTGTGCTCGTGTCCTGCCTGCTTGTGGGACCGTGGCAGAGCACTCAGCTTAACTCGCCTGACATCTGCTTGGCATTTAGCAGTGGAAATCAAACGTGCGCAAGCAACAAGCTAGTGTGGAACAAATGACTGGCTGCCAATGCTGCCCCAATCGCTGTTACTCCTGCCTCCTTTGGCGACGCTCTGCGCAGCCCTATCCTGTGAGCCGACACCATTGCTTTGGCCCAACGTCATTGTTGTGGCCAAGCTCACGCTGCAATGTTGTAAATAATTTGCTAATGGCGCCATTGTGCAGAGCAGAGAGGAGCAGAGTGACACAAAAGTCAGTCAGTCGAACAGCGAGTCATTCATTCATTCATTCGTTCATTCTGTCAGCCAGTCAGCCAGTCAGCCAGTAAACCAGTCATGCAGTGATCAAACTCCCTACACTGAGCTCCCAAGGCAACTGACTGCCATATTTATATGAGCAAATTGATATAAAAAAAATGCAATTGACTGAGTCTCGAATAAGCTGGCGCATGAAATAAACGGGTACAGAGTATACGTAAGTATATCTGAATGGGAGGAGCTCTGCAGCGACTAAGTGGCTGGAGAGCTCGACGATAAAACTGCAGAAAGTGCAGAGGCAGGGAAAAGTTGTACAATAAGTGCCACTAACAGCGAAACAACAAAAATTATAAAATTGCCAATTGACGTAAAATAGAATGTAGATTTTGCCTTCAGTCAACAACAACTGGTAACGACAACTCAGCATGATAGCAGCAACAAGAACAACATCAGCCTCCAAGCGAAGAAGGGACTTTGCTAATGATGACAATGTTCATAGCATTAGAAACAACAACATCAACACTCTACTAACATACATTTGTGCTTCGAACAGCTCTCTATCCGCCCAATCACACTTAAAAATGTCTAAGGTTAAAAAGAGGTTTTAATGCAAAGCAAAATACCATTAAACTTAAATTATTATACTCCATCTCTTTTTTTTTGTTGCTGAGATAACTTAACCGATCAGTTCATAAGATTCCAAAAAGGTTTGGCATGATAGAAAAAACGTAATAAAAGCTTTTATTAAGTATT